TGTTATTCATTTATATTGAAAGAAGCTGTTAACGCCTCGACTACATGAACACAGCAATGCTCCTGCAGACCAAAGTAGCTGCTGACTCCGAGTGACCAGATCGGGACTGGAAAAGGGCCCAACTTCCAGACGATGGAAGTTCAGCCATAAAAAAAAAAAAAAAGTCCTTTAGGAAACACGACTTGGGGGACAATTCTTTTTTCAAAACTTGGGCCCAATATGCTTAATTACTGCCATATACAGGAAGCTCGTTGTTATACTATGAGGCAGAGGTCACTTTATAGTGACACACAGTCACACTATAGTAAGTACTGCACAAGCACAGTACCACAAGATTGCTGCAGTAAGGAGTACAGAAAGACTAAGGTGGGGGGAAATAAACATACACGTGAGCTGTGTTTTCTAAAGAGTATTTTTGGACGCAAACTGAGTTTTTAAGAGCATTCTTTCTCTCAAGATTGGAGACCAGGATACATCACAACAAACTTGGTCTGACTGAGGAGAACGAGAGCTCCCGACTGCAGAGATATTTCAGTGTTCATTTCTGGCTATAAAACTAAGGAGTTTGGCTTGTCCAAAAAATCTCCTTTTTCCAGATGGGAAAGACAGACTGATTTCTAGACAAATTTTAGTAATTTTCTCTACTTTGCAGATTTGGCAGTTTGAGCAGCTTGAATATAGTCACTTCAGCTAAACAAACGGATATATTCTCAGTGAAAAAGCAGCCCCGCAGAACACACATAAGCCATTTTTCAGCTCCTTCAGATTTAATTTGTCTAACGTACCACTTCATAGAGAATAACATTGTTTTTCTTAAGTCTAGTTTTGATAACAACTAAATTCAGCTTTTCTCTCTTCCTGACAGAGTTCTCCTTATTCTGAGATCTTAATTATGTCTTCCTATATCAGCATTCCTCTGCTTACCAGTGCGTTCTACTTTTCAGTTCTATATACTTCCAGCTGAGATGAATGAAATCAAGGAAGAACTGGATGCAAGGATGGCAGGCTGTCTGCAACTTAATTTTTATATTAATGTAACCACACCTGCTACATTAAGCTTTTAATGAATACGGGCGGGTAACAGTTGCAGGATATGGCCCACATACTTGTCTCAGTGTCTGCAGCTTGCTAGGAATTGCATTTCCACATAGTGGAGATGCCTACAATTGTTTTAATGATGCCCACAATGGCTGCATATAGCAATACTCACTCTGGGATGGATTCTCTGCATTTGTTCCTTTAATGAAAGCGGCCTGTGATTCAGTCATGATGATTTGATTCATACATTTTAATTCACTCCCACCCAAGCCACACTTTGTCACAATGGTTGTTTCACAACTGCTATGGCCAAGGGCAAAACAACTGCAGTAGGCTCGGTTTCCAGCATCACCTCCTCCCAACACCACCAGCTTACCCTGTAAGACAACAGGCCACACAGCTTCACAGTCAGCTCTCTCACCATCTTATCTGTCAGGTTCTGGAAACCACTTTAATGTGAAAAGGGGTGACAGCAGGGCTCTACTGTAATAAAAAGTGCTGTTTCCTAAAGGACCGCTACACTTCAACTGAAGCCCTTGTGGCAGTACCATGGGGGACCTTCTTTACTCACATGCCACCTGGGTGGAGATTTCTCTCTCGGAAGCCATCTCTGAAGCTCCTGTTCCCTGTAAACTGCAAGGGGAGCCACCCATACCAGCTGTTTCAGAAATTACTTTAAATCAGATTATTTCTACAGTTTGTCTTCAAGAAAACTGTGTAGCTCTCAGTCTTGCTCTGACAGTTTTATGGTTTTGACCATTAAACAAGCTGAAGGCATCTCCATGACAAGGAACCACAATTTTTAGGACAGGGAAAGAAACGTGTGAGATAGACCCTGCATTTCTTGCACACCGGTGGGAATTCAGAGCCAAGCTCCTAGGTGGCCCTCGTCTCTTGCAGCATTATCCACTAAAGCTTTATGTAGCAGTAAGCATTACATTCATATAAAAATTAACTGAAAAGAAAATGATCCTTGTAACTTATCTAGAAAATTCAGGATAATAGCATAAAAAAAAAAATCAAGGAACTCTCTCTTTAAGCTAGATTGTGTATAAATTTAAAGTAGAAACTCATTTTGGTCATTTGTTACTCATGCTTTATCCTTTAATCACTTTACCAGATAAAGAGCTTCATTTCTGTTGGCAATATCCATTTTTATGAGTTCATTATTTCTTTGCTTTTATACACCTTAGAGTTTCTTGGCTTAGACTTCTCATATCCACATCTCCTACCAATTCCCTTTGCTTAACATTTTCTATTGCTTTTTTATACAAAAAATTGTACGAAGTCTGCCTCATCTGAGCAGTGCAAGAGAAACCAGTTACTATTCAAATAAGTTTTCTGAACTCTTCAGAGTTTCAGCTTCAGAGCTGGGGGAGATTATAAGGCTGTTCACTGACACTATTTACAAACTGATTCATTTGGGCACTTCTGGGCCACTGAATGAACTTGCTTTTCCACAGCAGACTGTTCTTAGCACTGAAGAGCATGATCAACCAACATTTTCACTTTTAATTCTGGGGTGCTTGCTTCTATCATAGTCTCAAAACTAGACCATTTCTGTCACCAGTATGTGGAACTCCTATTTGATTTCATCTGAAGTTCCACCTACCGAAAAACATTTGCAATATTATAAGAGTTTGCATGAGTATTTTCAAGGCGATATATTTATGTTGTGCTGTTCTTACTTGCCAAATAGCATGGGTGATCTCGCAAGCAACAATCACCCGGCAACACACACATGATACAAACCTTTTCCAGGACAACCCACACATTCCCAAAGTTCAGGGAAATCTTAATTAGCAGTTGTGATTTCAATTCCCATTTCCTTTATATTGGTAGTGCTACACTTCCAGATTACACAGATGATGACAGAAAAAGATCTTGACTATATAGAAGTGGAGGTGTTCTAAGCCCTTGGTAAGAACATCTCTTTGGAAGGCAAGGGCATATGTCTTAATACGAGCCAGCCCCTCCTTACTGACACCAATATGCCACAGCAAGTTCAAAGAAGGGTAAATCAGGCACAGCATTTACAGATAAGTGGAGCTTCTTGGAGAATCCATCTGGAAGAGTAAGGCAAAGTGCACAACTGCAAAATCTATTAGCATCACTGTGGCTTTACAACCTGAGAATGTTAAGTAACAGCACTAGCTGCAGGCACCTCGATGAAAAGCAGGAGTAAGGAGTGGTAAGAAGCAAGCAGATTTCTTTAATTTAATTTTGTTTAAACTGCTACTTGTTGTAAATCTCAGAGAAGGCTTCTGTTTCCTCTCTGTACTTTTTATGTAGTAGCAGCTCCTTAAACCACATAAAACAAGTGCGCCAAGTTCTCTCTGAGAACATTTCATGGAGTTTAGACTTGTCTGAAGGAGTAACATGAGGATGAATTTAACTCACAGGCTATATAAAACAGGAGTTATATTCCAGTCTTGAACCACTATCTGTCTGGACCTGTTATATTGGATTTACCTGGAAGAGAAATCAAATAAAATATAGCCTGACACTTTGAAAGCCCCCCTGCCTAAAGGTAAAGTCTCCTTTTATTCCACACACTAGGACATTTTGTCAAACACTTTCACAAAGATGACAAGAACAAAAACCTTATGGCCTACAGCCAGAAAGCACCTAAGAAGCATCTCATGACTTGACACTTCAAGGAAAACTGCAAGTAATAGGTTGTGGTCCAGAAAAACATCCAAGACACAAATTACTTGAGAAGAAACTCAAACATCTTATATATATGGCTTCAGCAATGCAAAGCAACACACGGTGCCTCAGCAGCCAGTATATCAACTTTATGTCACCACACAATTCAAAGGGAAGACAGAACTCAGTAATGCTTTGAGCAAACACAGGCATGACAGTTATTATTGTACCAGATGAAAAAGGGACAAAACCAGGGCAGAGAGGACAGTCAGCACATCTGTGACTGAGAAGACACAAAATAATAGAAGTTTCCTGTAAGAATGACAACAGAGATGAGGAAAACTGCTGTGATGTCACCAGGGAGGGCTACTGGAAGAGCTGCAATAAGCACAGAAAAGAGGGCACTACAAAGTTCGAGAACTATCAACTTTGAGATCACATAAAAGCTCCAAGGAGAGGCTACAGTAGAAAGTTTACTGCCCATGCACTAAAGACCCTTCTTGCAGAAGGATTAGTAACCTTGGGCAAAGCTCAGTTCTGCCAGACAAACCTTCTTAGCTATTCTGGAACAGAATTATTTCCTTTGGCAACTCCTGATAACAGACCTCACCAGTTTCTGCATCAAATGCCAGAGTTGTTTCTTGGACCTTGCCTTCTTCGACATAAAAGGTGACCTACATCAACACATGTTTTTAAATGAAAAAAAAAAAAAAAAAAGTACCAAAGCAAACAGAAAACCCTCCACTGAACAGGCTTATCCCACCTGTGAGAAAACAACCATCCTGTAACAGTCGTGTTACATGCTGCCACTGCTGGGAAACGTTCAAGGTACACATGCTGCAGTTACCATATCACATAGAGAGCAGAACTAGATTTAAGCAAAATGATGCAGGTGCTGGTAATAATCCAGCTGTATTAATATGAATTGCAGCATAGGTAGCGTGCCCTACTGAAGAATGGTGATTGCCACATAAGAATTTACACAGTACAAGAACTTGGAAAAAAAAAAAAAAAAAAAAAGAGAGAAACAGTGTCTTGGTATTTATGTAACAGTATAATACAGCTGCCCAGTCTGTTAAACATCTTTGGGTTGTTCACAGGAGGAAGAGCAAACATACATAAAACCACCTCAGTTTAAATTATAATACTCCCCAAACTCTCTGTTGGAATTTACCGCTTCCATTTTCCAGACTGCACTAGCAGGAAGGCAGAACAGCGCAGCAGAACTTCCAGATCAGCATCTGAGAAGTTCCCCTCCTCAGCGGTCTTGTGATTTGAGATGCATACAGAACAGAGCACTTTTGAAGCAAGTCTTTAATATTTTAAGAGACAATTCTTTATTCACAGAACATGCAATAACTCCTTTCGAACTATATGCAAAAATTAACCCCAAAATTCGAATGAAGATACAGAGAAAAAAATAAAAAGCAGCACAGCAGTGTTCCAAGAGAATATATAATTCACAAGTTTAAAATTCAAGCACTCCCCTCCTATGCCTGGAGCTCTCTTAAAATATTAACAATCAAATCTCTTCGGTAAGTGTACGGTGTATACTTTATTCTGAACCAGTGCCTTGGGAAAAGGTTACCACTTGGGGCATACATTTTTGCCCCCTGCTTGCCCATCAGACCACGAAGAATCCTGTTGCGGGACAAGATTTTATCATAAAATTCAACCCCACCTCTGGCATAGTCTTTGGAAACAGTAGCTGCCTTTCTGTCAGCCTTGCAGTCTAGATGATAGGTCACAGCGTCGTAAGAAACGTAATAGCACATTAGTCCACCAGCGGCAGTTATGAGGTTACAGATGCTGCGAAGTATCATGGGGCCAGGAGATAAACCCAGAAATCGCTTTATACCTGTCCCACAGAAAAATGTACCAGCTAAACAGGTTGGAGCAACAACTGCACTTGCCAAAGGGCTGCCGTTCTGCAAATACACAACTTCTCTGGCAATGGCAAACTTCTGAGCTTCAAGTGAAAACGTCAGAGCTTCCTTCAAAGCAATACCTTCATTGCTCTCCCAGTCTACTTCCTTGCCATTGATCACAACAACATGGTTGACTATTCCTTTTTTATCCTCAGCTGTGCTATCAAAGTTAAGTGGGATGCCCACCAAAGAGCCTGCAGGCAGCCAGGGTATTCCAGCACTCACAGGCTGGAAGCCAGAAGCTGCAAAGGCTCGATAGGAGCCAGGGGACTTCACATCAGTATCTCGAAGGACATCCTGAAAGACACCACAGAGCCTCTGTGAAAGCTCAGCTGGCTGCCCCTCTGACCAACACTCATGCAACAGTTTGAATGTCTGCTCAGGAAACACATGATGGGAAAGGTTAGCACCAAACAGTCCCATGCAAGAAACGGCCAAGAAAGGGATCTTGTGCTTCTTTAGCCACACAGATGCCTTCCGCAGGAACTGCACTGCCATAGTCAAATCCTAACCTGTTTATAACACAAAAACAGGAATTAAAGTGTGCATAAATGAGTCTCTCATCTCTGTAGCATTTTGAAAAAAACAAAGCAAAAAAACATGAGGAGAAGCAGAGCAAAATAAACAAAGAAATATTCTTGGTTTTGCGTTAACAAAACACCTTTACAGAGAAAGTGGTACTCATTAATTTTTTGGCCTCGGAACACAGGACCATTGATACAGAAAATTAACTTCCCCCTCTCCTCCAGTAAATCAATTTACCACAATAAAGACAATAATAAAGCCACGGTACTTCCTCCTCCCCCCCTAGCGATCAATACACATTCTGTATTTACCCAACATACTCGTCTAGTCCTTGCCAGCACAATCCCACCACTGCACTCCACTGCAGACACAGATATTAAGGCCAGAAAGAGCCAACAGGTAGATTAATCTATGCTAACCTCCTCTACAGTACAGCTCCAAAAATTTTAATCAGTAACCTTAATACTTAATACTCAACTACAACTTCCAAAATAGGATCAGAGCTTGATCTGAAAATTTCAGGAGAAAGAATTTTCCTTTAAAGTTTTTTCTAATGGATAGTCACTATGGAAAAAAAGAAAAAAAAACAAACCAAAACAAAAAACCAAAAACAAACAAACAAAAAAAAAACAGTATGTGGTTTTTCTTTTTTTTTTTTTTTTTTTCCAGTTTTCAACTTCCAGGCAGTGGTTCTAGCTTGCTCAGGAAAAAACAATTTTCAGAAAGCAGCATGATTTCAGTGGCTACTTAAAAAAAATTGTCTCTGAAATAATTTCTCTGACAAATAATATGTGCAATCCAGAGCAGAAACTGGAACAGAAATTGTTTCAGGGCAGACAACCATGTTGTGAGTCTTTAAATAAGCAGATAAACTTAAAAACTTGCAAACCTGCCAACTGCTTCAGTTCAAGAGTCCTGCTTCCCTTAGGGAGTATCAGTTCCTTTTATGTTCCAAGCCATAAGATGTGCTCTGCCCTGGAAACCTCCAGTCTCTTAAAAAAACCCCTTGGCTACAGAAATCTCCCCTGAAATGATGCTACTATAAAGATATAAAAGTGAATTAGGGATCTAAATCCAACAGACATCAGTGAAAATTGGATGCCTGTTTCCAGTTGCATCTTGCAATGTCTCCTCTCAGGGCTTTAACACATGACCTTAAGAGAATCTTGCTGCAGCTGTTGAGGACATTAGTATTTGCAGCTGTCCTTACAGGAAGCCAAGGTGGTAGAAGGAAACTGTACTTTGATACAACCAAGGTCTTAGCGTAGAGTGCTATCAAAGGTGGGTTTCAGCTAAGCTGCTGGGCTTTGTGCTGTTGCAGCTGAAACATACAACGTTTGCTCCCTTCTTCCACTCGTGCTGGGCAAGAACCTCCCACAGAGGGGTAGAGTGGACAACTGGGGGCTATAACGTCATCAAGCAGCGCTGCATGACATGCCAGGATACAGCAGTCATGATCCACAGCAAATGAGTATTAACCATAGGGAAGCAAAAAGGGATTAAATTAAAAGTAGTGTTTTAATGATACATTATTGCTACTCCTTCCTATAAAGCTCTTTCATAGTGTAAATTCATCAGGGGAAGAATAATCTTGTTTAATGTTTATAGTGCACTGAACCCATACTGAGTGCTTAATAAAAACAATGATGCATGGAAGTACACAATAATGTAATATGTATTTCTTAGTATAATAAGTGGTAGTATTCTCACAATCTGCTAAAGACTGGAGGTGGTGATTTGTTTGACAAAGTTATTTAAGAAAAACATGCTAGAGAGCCAAGAGCTTGGATAAAACCCAATTTTGGGAGTAAACTGCCTCGATAACAAAGCTGAAAACCAGAAAATGGTAATACTAAACCCAAATGACCTCTTTGGAGTCAACAACCTCTTGGCAAATCTGGTAGTCTAGCTCTGATTGAAAAGGTCATGCCATTTACAGTGGGGGGGGACAACATTTCAAAGGGGATGATTGTATGAAGACTATCACTTGATCCACATGTGAACCTGAGCCAAGGACTTCCCAAGTTTCTTCACTCATGTTAGAGAGAGCTCTTGCATTTGGGCTGGCTAACAGATCTTTCTAAGATTAGGAACATAGCTCTTTTCTTGCTTGACCAAGTGATGCTTGCCAGGCACATGGGATGCTCAATACTCCCCTCGGTCAGCGGTCAGCAACTTGGGATGCCAGGAAGGACACCTGGACAGGTGGGCAGCTGGCAGCCTACGGCCATCGGGTGAACAGCAGGAAAGCGGGGCAGGAAGCGCTGTGCTTAACTGTACACTTCTAAAGAGCCATAACGGCAGGATACACCTCAGTGCAATAACACTAACTTTTTTCCTTCTTCAGTCATAAAAATTGTAACAGTTGCTAAGTACTTTTTACATTTTTAAAATTAAATTATGCTTTGTGCAGGCATGGTTTCAAACCTTTGTGGAGAGACCCCTCACAGCCCAGGCTATTGCTGGATTACACCCAACAGTCCTGCTGCACACCTAATGCAAGAACAAGCAGGAAAAAAGCCAGAGTATTCACTTTCTCGTGATAGTCAATACTCACAACAATAAAAGGAAAATTGCCCTCGATACCTTTCAGCATCTGTGCTTTCAAATCTTCTCTGAGCGCCAGCGCAGACTCTCCCCTCCTGCAGAAAACCCCACCGCTGCCCGGACTGCACGCAGCATCTTTAGTTTTATTCACCAATTTTGTGCAACTCACGTATGAGGAAGGCAACTGGAAGCTACAAGGCAATTCATAGGGCCCACAGCCTGCAAAATTTAATAATTCAGTTAGTTCCCATAAAGCCACAGCAGCGTTTATAAGATGGTCTCCCCCAAACGCTGAAACGCTGCTTATCTCTGTGGTGGCCTGGGCACTCATTCTCAAAGATGGGAGTTTTAATAAACTAAAGTTCAAAACGGGGATACCTGGGCAGGTTTTGTGCTAACACTTGAATAAATTTATTTTTTCTCAATACGTGCAGCCGAGGGGAAAGCCCAACTTAAAACAACATCAATCCAGGAAGCGGGGCGAGGGCTGGACCCGCCTCCAGGGCTCAGGATCTCAAGGCTCACTTGTCGAAAAATAAAAATACAAAAGAGGGAGGAAGCTAAGCACGGCTGTACGCGAGGGGCGG